GGTGACACATGGGCTGGGCAGGCTGGGAGAAGGCGCCAGCTCCTTTCCGTGCCCAGCACTGGCCTCTCACAGCATTTGATGAGCCAGACCATGATCCTGCCGCTTCCTGGCCTGTCTGGGTACATGTGAGGAGGCCTTCCCGCCAAAATTCCTCAGCTCAGCCCCTGCAGAGTGTGCGGCTTGTGCTAGGCTCCTGTTACCCTTCTGACTTAACTCTGGGAAGAGTCCCACTGACATGTGACCAGGGCCTCTAGCTCCTGCAAAGCCACCCTGGGCAGACATCAAGGAAGTGGGCCCCAGACCTGGTGAGCTTGCTCTGCTGACTGGCCTATCTGGAAATGTGGGAATCCACAGGGCCCTGGGGGCTGCTCAAATTGTTCTTCAGTCATATGAGGAAGAACATCGCAGTCCAAGGAGGTCTCCTTCCTAGAACTAAAGACAAAAGATGAAAATTTCAGAAAGTGTATAGACAGGAACTGAATTTCAAAAATCTTAAATTGGGCTTTGCTTTCTCAAGGTATCAACATCCAGTTGAAAGGGAAGTGAAGAGTGAGGAATGGGTCATTGACCAGGGGGTCACATTCTGGCCTATTGGTAGTAAGAGATGCACAGCCGGTGCTCAGGCTGGCCATGGGCATGTGCCTTTGAGAAGCCTGCGTTCTGTGTGCAGCGTTTTGGCTACTGCAGCTTTTGTGGTGGTCGTGACTAGAGGGGTACTTTGGAGACTGGCCCCGGGAAGAACCCAATGGAAAGGAATGCAGAGGGGAGAGGGGTGTCTGCATTACTTATTGAAACTTGAAGTTTCAGAGAGTAAAGATGGTTAAAATTGGATAGATGGTCTCTCAAGATCACCTGGACATGTGGCATCACATGGCCCCTTTCCTTGGGTGAGTGGGACAGTTCCACTCATTCATCTTCAACTTCACATGTGCTGTGTTCTGAAGAATTTCTCTTCCTTTATTGCATCTTTGCCTCTCTCTAACTTTCTTCCTATTGTATACAGACAGAGTCCAAATTCCAAATCCCATCTCCATAAAGGTATTATTCCACTGACGCCTGCCTCTTAGACTCTGAGAGACTTTATCCTTCTCAGCTCTGTCTCAGTCCTGCCTCTGATCTTCTTTTGAATCAACCACACACGCCCTGTAGGTTCTACTGATCCTCCTTTCAGTAGCAATTGAGGCTGTGGAATGGGGAAGGCTCTACAGGCTTTGCAGAAAGGGAAGTATGGCAGTTCTGCCCAACCATCTGAGCGCGCTTGTCTTTCTCTCACAGGCAGCCAACACTGAAGAGTGATGAGAAGCCTGTGGCCAGTGTTCGTCCAGTACAGTCCACCCCCATCCCCATGATGCCCCGGCACGTTCCACTGGGAGGCAGTATAAGCTCCGCCTCCAGCACAAACCCAGCCGTGAACTTCCCAATCAACTACCTGCAGCGTGCGGGAGTCCTTGTGCAGAAGGTGGTCACCACAACAGGTTGGGAACTCCTGGGTTCTCCTCCAGGGGTGCTGTCCCTTTTCCAATTACTTTGTTCATTCAGGCATCTTCGTATTTATTGAACAGCTTGTGTACCCTAGGCCTTACTACCTTGGCACTGTAGGTAAAAATAGAGAAGACAGCAGCCCCTGGTCTTGAGGAATTTGCACCCTAATGGAATATCTTAAGAATAATAACATGGAACTGGGTCTTGAATGTGGTCAGTGGGATAGACTCTGAGTACTGCAGAGATTGTGGAAATGTCACTGGAACACAGGGTTGGTCTTCTGAGAGACATGCGAATGTGTTGAGTCCTGCCTGACTGGGGTCAGCTGGGTATAATAAACAGCTGTCAACCCCCCTGCTTCATTAGACGACCTTGAATGTCACATGCTTCTTTCTTTGTGAGTTTGATGTAGATCGAGTGTTAGGAGGTGGGCAGCTCATCCATCCCTGTGATTGGTCCTGCAATTCAGGGTAATTGGGAAGGAAAGCATTTCACGATGCTATTTTTCATCTGTGATCTAGAAATATTCATAATGTAAATTTAATGAAAATGCCTTAATTGATTTTTTTAATCTGAAAATGCATGTCCATTGTAAAAAAAAAAATTGGTAAAAACAAAAAAGAGCCTCTCGTAACATACTTCTCTTCTGATTCTTAAAAATAGTCTTCATTCTTTAGTTCAGTGTGGAGTAATAATGCCAGCAGGGAAGAAAATGAGGCCACTTTTGGAGCCGAAAGTGATATGGAGCAGATACATGCAAATAGCTGAGGGCAGAGGAAAAAATACGTAGAAATCACCATTTGAACCACCACTTTTTTCTAAACAAAAAACTCTGTGAATTTTTAATTAAATCAGGGGAAAGAGATGACAGCTCCTTGTTTTCACAGAATTCTTTGTCTAGACGGTTGTGAGAGGTCCTGCTTGCCTCACCTTCCTCGGTTCTGACCTCTGCTCCACTGAGATTAGGGAAGCCACTGAGGAACGGGGTGGATGTGGGCTCTGCAGTTTCCTTCCCTCCTTTAGTCAGGCCCCATGTGATCTAAATCGGAGATCTGTGTCTTCACTAGATATTGTTATTCCTGGACTCAACAGCTCCACAGATGTGCAGGCAAGAATCAGTGCCGGTGAGAGTATCCATATCATCCGTGGGACGAAAGGTGAGAGCCTGACCCCGGCCTGTGCCTAGCTCTGGTTGCCAGTGCTGGGCTGGGCAACAGAATACGTGCATATGGCTTGTGCTGGGGGGATAGGAACCCTCTTATGAGAGTGTCATATGTGAGGGAAGCATGAGAAAATGACATTTCTAAGAGCTTAGTAGAGTTGGGGTGGGCCCAAAGGATATCTTTCAGTGGCTTAAAAGATGGGAGTGAGGGTCACTGCTGCATTCCTGTATTTTACCTCTGTTTTTATGGAGAATCTTGGGGTGGGTTTGGATAGACACCATGTTTTGTATCGGGCTCAGCCTATCCGTAGTGATGCCATGGGCTAGGAATGCCTGACTCACCTGGTCCCGTGCTGCTTGTGGGAGCCCATAGACATTTCCCCAGAGCCAGGGTTGTGGTATTGTGGTTGTAAGAAGCAGCAACCATCAGGGAATTTTGAAAAGACAAGGTTTATTACTCACAGGTCCTGAAGGGTACATGGCATGCTCGAGGACCTCCCAGGGAGGTCACGAGAGAGAATGCATGGACCTAGGGCTCTGCCTTTATTAGGGTCCAAGAGTGGGGTGCCCAGGGTTTCGCGGGTTCAATTTTAATTGGCGAATTTAAAATATAAGAGCGGGAATTAGAGCACGGGAAGCAAAAAGTGGGATCACTCATGGGTCAGTTATCTAGGTTACCCTAGGCTTTCTAAAAGGGGACTTTGTGGGTGGGGCCATCCGGCTCTTTATCTGGTTGTGTAGCTGGTAGCTGTGTCATACGGCTGGCAGTTTGTTTATTCGAGAGGGATGTCTTTGCAATGAATGCTTAGGCAATCAAAGCTTAACATCTGGCACTTACGCTACACACAGGGAGATCAAAACAGGAGGGAAAGAGCAGCGGAATGGGTTCAAGCCAATATGTACGTGATTATGTCGTCTTTCCTACTTACTTTGAGTGGGATAGAGGTCTCTGACTATGAAATGTATTGGGTGGATGAATTAATATACATGGGTGCATGACAAAATTTTGAAGCGTGGCAGTTTGAAAAGTCCCCTGCCTCTGGCCTCCTTACAGAGGGGTGGGCAATCTGGGCTGGACAGTGTCAGGACACTCTCTCAGCCTCTTTCATCTCAGCCTTCACTCTGCCAGGCTCCCTGAGGCTCCTTGTTTAGGAGGGAGATTTTGCCCTAGCCTCTGTTGGGTCAGAGTACCTTTAGGCTCAGGGAGAAGATGCCATGAAATACATGACACAGAGAAGACTGTACCCAGCCCCCGTACTGCGCTCTTCCTAGCCTTCTGAGCAGGGGTCGGCAAACTCCGGCCAGCCCACAGACCAAACCCAGCCTGCTTGCTGCTACTGTCCCGCGAGCTAAGAATGCAGTTTACATTTTCATTTGCTTGGGGGGAAACTCAAAAGAATAATACTTCGTGGCATGTGTAAATTATATGAAATTCACATTCCAGTGTCCATAAATAAAGATTTTTACATCATAGCCATGCCCAGCTGTTTTCATGCCACAGGGTTGAATAGAGAGATCTAATGGCTCACAAAGCCAAAAATATTTACTAACTGGCCTTTTAAAGTTTGCCGACCTCTGGCCCAAAGGCAGCCCTGACCATCCAGGAAATTGATCAAAAGACATACCGAAGACAAGTCAAAGTAGATGAGTGCTGTGTGGGAATAGAACACAGGTCTAAAATTATTCGTACTAAGAGAGAGAGGGTGTTGAGGCATAAGCCTCCTTTGTTCCAGACCAAGAGGAGGACCCGGGCCAGAGTCACGTATTCGCTTTCACAGCACCCCATTTGGTTCCCCCATTACATTTAACCTTTCCTGAAATTTTCTGGCATAATTGTCTGTCTCCCCTTGAGAGGTTAAGCTCCAGGAGACAGGTCCCTTTTTGGTTTTGTGCACTTCAGTGTCTAGAACAGTGCCTAGTACCTAGTAGTTACACAGTCAGTGTTTGTGGGATAAATCATAATATTGGGCCCACAGCACAGTCACCCCCCATCTCCTCATTTCAGGGGTCTTGAGAAAGGCTGTAAGACTTAGTTTCATAGCTGTTTCCCAGCCCGCAGTGCCTAGGCCTGGAGTTTCCCAGGGCTGGCGGTACTGCATGTCTGCTCCTAACGGTCTTCCTCATGCTTCTTCTCAGGGACATACATCCGCACCAGCGACGGACGGATCTTTGCCGTCCGGGCGACTGGTAAACCAAAGGCCCCTGAGGATGGTCGGATGACTGCCTCAGGTACAGTAGCTTTCCTTCCTTCCTTCCTCCCTTCCTCCCTCCCTCCTTCCCTCCTGTCTCCTCCCTCTCCCTGCCCTCACTCCCTCCCTCTCTTATCTATCTATCTATCTATCTATCTATCTATCTATCTATCTATCTATCTATTTTTTGGTTTGGGTTTAGTTTCATTTGTAATTAATTCATTTTTTAATAGATAATGTGTACATGGTTCACAATTCAAAAGGTATAAAAAGGGATTAAAGTCAAAAGTAAGTTTTTCTCCCACCACACCTCCAGCCATCCATTGCTCCTTCCTGGAGGTGCTGCTCTCATTTGATTTTTTTTTTTCCCCAGAGATATTCTATACATATACATGGTACAGGGATGTGTGTGTGTCTGTATAAAAAATATATGCATGTAACTTTTCTATCTATTTTTAAAACGAATGCTAACTTACTATTTGGTTGTCAGAAAAGCCATACGCATTTTTGCAACGAAAAACAGAAAAAATACGTCACGACTTTGCCGACAACCCAATATAATATACTGTTTCTCTTTTTCACTCGAGTAGCTCAGGGCTCATTCCTTATGGTTTCTTTAGATGTGCCTCATCGAAGGTTTGCACATTAGATGGGAATAGCAGTGTATTCCCAGGTTCTCTGTCCTTGGACGTTTAGACTGTTTTGCTTCACCATTACAGTACTGGCTCACAGTCATGTGGCCATGTCTACAGGATAACTTCCTAGAAGTGGGATTAATGGCCAGGTCAAAGAGTGTGTGTGTGGCCCATTGACATGGTAGGAACTCCTGCCGAGCTCCCCTCTGTGGGAGTGGTTCTCATCCGTCCTCCTTCCACGAGGTATGGGAGCTAGACTGCCCTTGTTCCCAGCTTCTATTATGGAAATGTTCATACACACTGACAAGGAGCAGCCCTGAGCATCCGTACAGCCTGTACCGAGATCCAATGACTGCCATTTCTGTCATAAACTTCCTTTTGTCTCTCCCTTCCTACTTGAACTGTTTGTAAATTGAAGACATCATGTCATTTTACCTCTAAATATTTCAACACACATCTAAGATTAAGGACATTCTCCTCCTGGTACAACACCATTATCACACTAAAAAAAAGCCAACAATTCCATAGTATTACCCACTATCTCCAGGCCATATTTGGTTTTCCCAGTTGTCCCAATCCTCTTCTGTGGCCATGGACTTTGTTTTGTTTTTAAACCAGGATGGGTTGCTCTTTAGACTTCACCTCTTTTCTGCCAACCTGGTCACAAACTCTTAGCCCCCAGAAACAGCCTGACTAGCTATAAGGACAATCACTTAGCGTTTCGGTCCATTATCTCATAGGCTCCGCCTTAGTAGGGTTTTACAGGTTGGTGAACTGAGTTGAAGAGAACTCACATGTTTTGTCACAGGTAGACTTGTTTCCTAGATCAAAGGACTTCTCTTTGTGACTGGAAAAAGTTGACTGGGTAATGTTTAGACATCAAACTGTCAGAATTTGGGGGACCACAGGATTTTTTTTTTTTTCATGGAAGTTTTTCCTATACCCTCCTTGTCTCCTTGGCCATTCTGGTTCTCAGTTACCTATATTTTGTCCCCAGGTTCCCAGGGGCCTTCTCTCGAGTCCACAAGCAATGGCAGACACAGTGCCTCATCACCCAAAGCCCCCGACCCCGAGGGGCTGGCCAGGCCCGTCTCTCCGGACAGCCCAGAGATCATCAGTGAGCTCCAGCAGTACGCAGATGTGGCTGCTGCCCGGGAATCCCGCCAGAGCTCCCCAAGCTCCAATGCCGCCCTGCCCGGCCCCCCAGCCCAGCTTGTGGACAGCACTGCTATGCCTGGGCCAGCTCTCGGGACTGAGCCTCGCCATGGGGGTCATTGCCTCAATAGTTCCCTCTTGGTGACGGGCCAGGCCTGTGGTGACAGGCACCCAGTGTTGGACTTAAGGGGCCACAAGCGAAAGTTGGTCACACCACCTGCTGCCCAGGAGTCAACCCGCCGGCGGTCCAGAAAGGGCCATCTGCCAGCCCCCGTGCAGCCGTATGAACACGGGTATCCAGTTTCTGGCGGGTTTGCCATGCCACCCGTCTCCTTAAACCATAACCTCACCCCCCCGTTCACCTCCCAGGCTGGGGAGAACTCCCTGTTTCTGGGCAGTTCCCCCTCCTACTACCAGCTGTCCAATTTGCTGGCAGATGCCCGCCTGGTGTTTCCAGTGACTACTGACCCTCTGGTGCCAGCAGGCCCCGTCAGTTCCTCTTCCACGGCTACCTCAGTCACTGCCAGCAACCCCTCCTTCATGCTCAACCCCTCTGTTCCAGGGATCCTACCCAGCTACTCACTCCCGTTCTCACAGCCACTCCTGTCCGAGCCGAGGATGTTTGCGCCTTTTCCTTCCCCTGTCTTGCCCAGCAACCTTTCACGGGGCATGTCTGTCTACCCAAGCTACATGTCCTCACATGCAGGCTACCCAGCTGGCGGCCTCCTCCGGTCCCAGGTGCCTCCATTTGACTCTCATGAGGTTGCTGAGGTGGGCTTCAGCTCCAATGATGATGAGGATAAGGACGATGATGTGATAGAGGTCACTGGGAAATAGCTGGGGAGCCCCTCTCCACCTCACTCGGGGTCCCAGCGGGTTGCCCACCAGGCTGGAAAGCAGTGATCTGGGCTTTCTGAGAAGTGGGCACTTGGCAGGAGGGAGAAGGAAGAGGGCAAAGAAGGGTGGTTGAACGTAGTGGTAGGCTCTGTTGCAGTTTAACAAGAGGCAAAAAAAAAAAAATCCAACAGAGCAGCAATAGCGGGAAATCAGGGACCCAAACCAGAAATGGAGGGGCAGGGCAGCCTGCCTCTCTTCCGTCCTGCCTTGCTTATGCTGTCTGCTTGCTTGCTTGCCCATCTGAGTGTAGAAGTTCACATCCCATTTCTGTCTTTGGGAACATTCTCTCCCAAGAGAGCTGCCTTACCGGGTGACTTAGCTTGGCCTGGAGAGGGGAGGGGAGGGATGGAGGGAGGGTGAGGGATGGAGGGAGGGTAGGGAGAGCAGAAGGAGATGCCATGTGAAGTGGCGTCTTTTTAAGGGGTGGGGAAGCAGCAGACCAGGTGTGTGTGTGTGTGTGTGTGTGTGTGTGTGTGTGTGTGTGTGTGTGTTTAGGAATGTACGTACACGTATGTAACAGCAGGGGTGGAGGTGGGAGGGAAGGGAGGGAGGGAGGGACGGACTAAGGGGGAAACTGAAAAACGAATTTATCTTTTTTAAAATGGAAATCAGAGTGTGGTGGCTCATGGTAACTATTAATATGACCATCAGGGTGAGCCCGCGAGAAGAGCCATGGAAACCACAAGTTTCCTTCCAGTTAGGTGAAGAGAAGGCCCAGGTAAGCTGAGTCCCTGGTTTTCAGAGCCACATTTGTTAGAATTTGGGGGAAATTATGAGAGAAAATGGGCATTACCAATCCTTTTTCCCCAGTGGCTGTCTCCGACCAGATCTCCCTTCCCAGGGTGTGAGCTTGTGTGCAGAGGCTGGCAGGGAGAAGCGCTGTGCTGTGTGAGTGCGAGGCCATGGAGTTGGGGCCAGGAAAGACATTCTGCACACGGATGGAACTGAGCCCACAGCTGCCTGTCCTGGTGGCCTTCCCTGTCTTTTTCTTCCCTGTTAGAGAGCTCCATGTTAATTTATTTCTTATGGGCAATTATTTATTATTTGGACTTTCCATGTGTCTTTTTTTGTGTGTGTGTGGCGGGGTGGGAGAGGAGGCTAGGGGTAGGGAGGAGGGTAGGAGATGGGAAGGGCAGTTTTAAGGTATCCCAGATCCCATAGCTGCTGGCAAATAATGCCCGGTGGGTAGTGAATTGACCAAGGAAAGAGAGGTAGGCTTGACCAAGGTTTACACTAAACGACTATGTTTTCAGGAAATGGCCTTTCAGGAAGATCAGGAAATCCTGTGACTGGAGAGTTAGTGGGAGTGAGAGTCATTCCGCAGAGATTGAAACTTGGGATCATGGAGTTTGCTATTGGGAAGTAAGTGACCCCAAATTTAGAGATACGTTCAAATAATGACCTTAGAGGCAGGCTGTCTATACTGAATAGTGAAGCTGTGTATAGGTGGCTGCTCCGTTGAGGGAATAGACTATTGATTTCCTATTGGTAAATGTCTTGGCCTCCCCAGCCTATCGGATGGTCAGTGTGGGCCTGGTGTCTGCTACCTCCATCCTCTCTGAAGGAACATGGGGGAGCCATTCCTCTGCAGGAGCCTTAAACCTGGCTTTTGTCTTAAAAGAACACATCGTCATTCTGGTTCTGCCCTTTCTTGTTGCCAATGCCAGGGCAGGGGGCATCTAGTCTTTAAGCATAAACATTGGCTGTCTTCATCTTGGCTTTTCCCGCCCTGGCTACTGAGAATTTGCTAGGCATTTCTTTATGATGAACAAACCTTGTCTGGTTTTAACGCTTTACCACCTCCCGTGGGTCCCTCCTCACTGGGCAGCTGCTGCACCTGCCTCTTCTCAGCCCTGGAGGCAGCTTGGGCAGGTCACCCCTAGTTGTAGCTGCTTCTGTAACTCATCCTACCAGCCCATTTCCATTGCTGGAGGGCCTTACACACTCTGGGGCATTGTCCCCAGAGAGGAGACAAGGAGATGGCTGGTGGGGGTGTGTGCATATGTGTGTGCATGTTTGTGCGTTGCCCAGTTACACCAAAAGTGGAACTTAAGGCGCTCTCTTTCTGTTTTCATAAGCGCCCTATCAGACACTTAACTCTCCTCATAGAAGCCTTAGATCTACAATTTAGCTATGCAAATTATTTTAATAATTTAAAAATAGCAGTTCCAACCAGTGCTTTCTCTTTCAGCTGCATCCCAGGATTGGATGGTGAAGGGACTTAGTTGGAGTGAGCTTTCAGGTCGAGGCTGGTACAGTAGGGGTGAGCTCATCTGGATCTCCAGTTTGCAGAGCACACTCATAACCTGGGCCACAGCTGATGCCTCTGAGGCCCAGGAGCACTGAGATCCCAGAGATTGTGCGTGTGTGTGCGTGCGTGCGTGCGTGTGTGTGTGCGCGCACGCGCGCGCGCGCGTGCATGTGTGTTTGGCTTGGGAAGGAGGGGTATTTTTGTGTTCACCTCTAGAAAATCACAGCAGCAGGCTCTGCGAATCCAGAAATTATCCCAGCAAGGAATTGAAGCTAGTCACTGGAGGGATGGGCTTTTGTGAACGTACCTGGAAGTGTATGGGGACTCGGAGAGGCAGCATGCTCCTGCGCACTCCCCATTGTTTCCAGGGCCTGGGTCTCCCTCCACCTTGGGGGAGGCAGACCTGGCTAGAGAAGGCTTTCTTTAATATGTGCGGCTTATATTGTGTTGGCGGGTAGAGTGGTATCATGGGGAATAGGAGTGCTACCAGTTCCATGTTTTTTTGTTTTGTTTTGGCTTTTTTTTTTTTTTAATGAACCTGAAAACGTTTATCTGACTTTTCTGCTGTCTCTTTATGTGCCCTGGTAGGCAAGTGTGCATGCACACCAAACATGGGCCTGTGTGGGGGAAGCAGAAAATGCCTCAGGGCCTAAGGGCCATGTTTTACAGCTTCTTTGATCAGAAACACTTGGTGGTGGCTTCTACCTGCCATATAAGCCTGAGTGAGGGAAGGATGGTGACAGGAGGGCGGGCAGATCATCAGGCCTAGGCAATTTCCCTCACTGTTGTCTTCCACAGAATGTTTTCAGGGACCTCTCAAGCCCTATCCGGCTGGTTTAGCCTAAGCCCTCAGCCTAGGGAACATAGTACAACTTAATGGTTCAGGATTACCATTTGTAGTGATGTTCGATTTCCTTTTCTGAGTATCTTTGTGGATAAAAAGTGAACAGAGACAGAGTAGCTACTTAAGTAAGAAAGTAAGTGAACCATGTTGGATCAGATCTGTTTCTTGAGATTGGATATCTGCAAAGTTCTCACCTTCTCGAGTTGTGATTCTTAAGCATCTATCTCGTGGTCCTTGCAACTCTCTCCCCTACGAATTAGTGTATGGAATTTCTATATATTTGTGATTCACAACTAAATATAAAATTTCCCATTCCAGGGCATGAAGCAAAGCTAGGGTGAAGTTTTGCTGATAGGTTGAAACACTCAACCAAACTTTAGCCGTCTGGGTGGGACTGTCGCTCCCAAGGTTGTCAGCAGAGCAAGGCGCCCTGCTCCAGTCTGTTCAAGCTGGTATTGCCCTGGAACTAAGTCCTCAAGCCCACGTGGAAGGTCTTCTGGGAGCTTTACATTCCTTGTTCCTAGTGTTCCTGGCCATGACCCCTTCCTCCTGTTTTCCAGTTCCCTGTGGTTCCTTAGAAGACCAGCCTCTCCCTTCTGAGCCATAGCCTCCTGTGTACCCAGCTAAGTGGCTCTTCTCCCACCAAAACCCCTGGGAGGGGAGTTCCTCCCCCAGTAGGACCCCCAGGACACTTTCTGGCCCTCTGCTGACTGTTCCCAAGGAACCCACACCTCAAGGCCTGTCTGAGAATGCTGCGCTCTCCATCAGTCATCCTGAGACTCCATTCCCCTCCTACTGATGCTTCTCTCCCCCTCCCCGTGCATTTCGCTGTCACCCCTTAATGTCTGTCTGTGCCACTAGCTTGGCCCTGGGCCTTTCTATGAATACCCGAGTCTTACGATGAACTTACTGAGCAGGCAGTGTCCAACTTCTTTGCTCTTCAGGGACCTGAGCCTGCCCCTTTCCTCTCTCGCAGGCCTATGTGATACGGTAATCTTGTGCATTGGGGAGAGGTAGCCAAGCAGGCTGCAGTCTGCAGGGCAGAGGGCTAGGATAGATTTGGGTATTTTCTGTTACCACTACTGGGGTGATATTCAGAAGAGAGGGGACCTCATACTGTGACCTGATCCAGGACCCTCCCCTGGAAGAGAGCTCAGCCCAGATGTGTGTGTGCACATGTGTGTCAGAGAGAGTGTGTGTGTGCACATGGGTGTAAACTGACTGTTATCTGGTTGTGTTACTCAGGGTGGGCTGGGGACTCACCGGAAGAATCCCCTTAGCCTGCCCAAGACTGGTTTTTTCCTGTTCCCTCTCCAGAGAGGTCAGGGGAAGGGGGTCCAGGTGGGTTGAGGGGGTCGCAGTGGATAACCACTAAGGCCGCATTGCTGCCAGGAGGAGTGGAAGGAGATGAGGTGGCCCCAGGGACCTGGCACCTGGCTTTGGTTTTCCGTCTTCTTTCCTCAGGACGCCCCCTGAGGCCTGGGACCTGCGCCTAGCTTTGAGGAGCACCTGTGGCTGGTGCTCCAGCTGCCGGTGTGGTCATGGGCTTCCCTCCTCTCTCAGCAGGGCAGGTGCTCCTGCCCCAGAGATTGGGCAACTGGCTGTTTCTATGACGTATTTATTTTTACTTGTGTTTCATGTCACTTTTTTAAAAAAGCAAACAGAACAATTGTAAGTCAGTATAACTGCCTATCAGTTTTCTTTATTTCTCTTTTTGTAAAATAAAATTTAAACTCAAGAAGGCAGTGTTGTTTGATCAGGGTTGTCTGAGCAGCTGTTTGGCTGGGTGGTGGTGAAAGGGTATAACTGAGAGCGTAGTGGGCGCCGGATGGCACCGGTGGGGTGGGGCGGGGGGAGTAGAGGGCAGACTCTGGGCAGGTCCTTTGTTGCAGAGGGTTCACTGGCCTTTTTCTGCCTTTGCTCACCTGAACAGGGCTGCATTTCCAAGCTCCAGAGGAAACAGACTGATTCAGGGGTGCTTGAGGCTAGCTGGTCCTCAGTCATGATGTGTCCTGCAGGGGCAGCTCTGACTAGGCTGAGTGCCTGGGGACTGGTTGTATCATCAGTGCCTTCAGACGGTGAAAGAGGGTTGGTGGCAGTGTTACAGAGTGTCTAACACACAGTGCACGTGTGTTCTCTGTCATCTGAGTTAGAGGATCTAACCACTGCCGCAGAGAACTAACCAGGGCTTTGGAACGTGAGGAGCTAGGGAAGGGAGGGGACAGTCCACTCTTTGGTTCCCCGAGTTTGGTCCCTTTAAGGGGAGGAGCCCTGGGGAAACATTCTCTGGAAATTTACTAAGGGAGAATTAAAGAACCTCGTGGGGATTCCTTGAACAGAGGGAAGCAGGAGGACACAAAGACCAAGTCCAGGTACATGAGAGAATATGGACTATTGGGAGAGAGGACTGGGAGTGGAGTGTGGGCGGGAGCTAGGCGAGCCCTCCGCTCACAAGCTACCTGGGGAAGAGAAAAGTGCCTTGGCTGCTCTCCCCTGGTGGCCAGCTAAGGCCTTGCAGGGATCCTACCGAGGGCGGGGCTTGCTCTGTTGGGAGCAGCCTGAGAAGAAGCCGGGGTGCTGCTGGCTTGCAGTCCCAGTCACGGGCAGACTGCTTTCAGACAGTGGCGCTGAAGCTCCTAAGGCACACCCTCAACTCTGACCGGGACTGTGGTGTTCCCCAACCAGGCTAAAGGAAGTGAGCAGAGAGGACAAGATGAGGAAAGGGCAGCTCCAGACAGTGGTTTCCTGGGAGAAGTTCATCAGCTTCTGAGATGCAGAACTGACCCCTGCAAACCCTGCAGGCATAGGCTGTCTGTCTCAGCCAGTGCACTGGCCCTTCCTCCTCTCACAGAAAATACTTCCAAGTGCCTGGGGCACCCAAAGGGTTTGATCAGACGCCTGGCGTTCATAAGCAAAATAGAACTGCCATGATGACCCTTGCAGCCTAGCCCTGAGTGCCTGTGAGGGGTCAGCTGCCCCTTCTGCCAGTTTGCTGGGACAAGCTTGACCCTGTGGATGAGGTTCAGTCTTTCCTGCCTGTGGAGGGAGCAGTGTGAAGCACAGGGAAAGGAAGCCAGGATGACGAGTGTTTCTGCCTTTTGCCCTTTGCTAGTACAGCCGTGGATTCTGCAGTAAGATGATTGCCCTCGCAAACATCAATCCTCGGTGTCAGGAGCAACAAGGTACCTCTTGGTCCAGCCTGTCTTACAGGCAAGCTACAAGCATAGTTGTCGTCTTGCCCACCTCCTCTACTGCAAGACTGGGCCTCTCAGGAGGGCAAGGTTTTATCTCTGGGGCCCTAGAAGAGTGTTTTGTCATTTGTAGGTCCTCAGAAATAGGAACTGAAGATGGAAATATCTTCAATCTTGACCTGGAAGTTACCTGGTATACACTAAGCTAGCTAGAAGGGCAGACCAGTCACATCCAAGGAGCCCCAGATGGAGGCGTTCCCTTGGTGAGCTCCCGGAGCATGGTGCCTTGGTTTTGTTCACCCAATATCCCCAGTCCCTAGAACTGTCCTGGCAGAGAGTGGTACTCAACAAATGTTGAATGGGTGACAGATGACCCCTGTGCTCTGGTTGGGGGGTGGGGTTAAGTGTTGGAGGCGGGAAGCTGATATTTGTGCTGTCCAGAGGTTGGATGGATCCACTAGCTTCTTCCCTGAGCCCAGACTGGGCTTCAGTTTCCTCAGCTGTAGAACCGAAGCAAGTGGCCCTGCCTTGCCCGGTTCCCAGGTCTGTCGCGAAGCCTCAGCGAGAGAAAGTGGCAGGACCACGGACCGTACAAATGCCAGAGGCTGATAACCGCTGTGCCGCACTTCCCAAACCTCTGGTGCCTGCTTCCTGGACCCCAGCCTGGCTCTCTACTGCGACTCGCCAGGCGGACTTCCCCCAACGCCTGGGGCCGCGCAGTCGTGCTCTCGCCAACCCAGATGCCAAGGGGTTCCTGTTCAGTCACCCTCTGCAACCCAGTAGTTTGTGGGAAGCAGGAAAGTGCGGGGTGGGCTCCGCCCCTGACAGCTCCAGTGGATAAACGCACACTCGTTGCCATGGAGCCGGGGCGGGGCAGACCTACGCCCTTCGGGTCCCGAGCGCAGGCGCCCACGGCCACGGCCACGTCCCGCCGCGAGAGGGGGCGGAGCGAACGTGCGCGGCAGGCGCGCGCAGGCTCCGCGACCGAACCCGGAGTCGCCTGCGCGCAACGGCGATCGCGGCGGGTGGCCGCTGAGGTGAGGGCCGGGCCGGAGGAGGAGCGTTCCTGCCCGGGCAGTCTCACGCGCGCCCAGGGCTTGGGGGGTCTCCGTCCGCCTGGGCGCGGCCTCAAGGCCCCCCGCGTCCCCTCCGTGACCCCCGAGGCCCAGGCCGCTCTTTGCATCTCGACTCGCACACAGCTGGCCGAGTCCTAGGGCCCGAAAGCGACCTAAGAGCAGCCCTACCACCCGGGCCGCCCCCTGCCGCGGGTCTGGGGCACCTCCCGAGCCCGTGGAGCTGGAGGGGTGGGGGGGGGTTACGGAGGCAGGAGCCGCACGTAAACTCCACCCCCGTCTCCTGACTGCCTCGCCTCCCTGGCTGCAAACTTTAGCGTCCCTTAAGCTGCGGAGGTGCCTGAGGCCCCAATGAAGTTGTGGCTGAAAAGAAAGGGGCTGGGTAAAGAGGTGAGGCGCAGCTGAGCGAGGGCTGGACGCCGGGGGTGGGAGGTGGCGTCCCCTCCTCCCAGCGCAGGCCCCTCCGAGCCCGGGTCTCCCCGCTCCGCGCTGGCGCCGAAGTTTTGCCCGCAGCGGGGCCCTTTAAGGGCCGGCCCACCGCACGTGAGCGGCTCCAGGAAGCGGGCGTGGCTCAGCCCTCCCTGACGCTCGCCGGTACCCGGCCGGAGGCGACCGTCCCGGGAGGCTCGAGAAGGGGCCCAGCCTGCCCAAGGTCAGCGGCAGGCGCTGTTTCAGGGCCAGGTGCGGTGGCTGGAGCCCTTCTGGAAGCGGGCTCTCCAAGAACGGGGCACGAGCAGGGCCCTAGTGAAGAGCTGACTTTGTGAGGCCGAGTTTCGCTTCTGATTTCCCTAAGGAGACTGAGGACGTGGTAGGGGTGCAGCCTGTGGTGAGGGGGCGTTCTTGTAGAGGCCCCGGTGGGCTTTCCCTGAAAAGGACGCAGCCAGGGCACGGCGCCCAGCTCAGTGATTATTTTCTTTCTGCCCCCAGCACCCGAGCACTTGGAACACAGTCCCTGCTGCGCTGGATGCCATGAGTTGCTAAAAGTGAGCCTGGCTTTTCAGGTGAGCTTCCCCAACCCTTCTCCCTTTCTCTTGAGTATGGGGACAGCCACATTGCCTCGCCTCCTTGCTGTGTCCCCCCCGCCCCCCCCCAGGTTCATTTCTCCCCTTTTCTGAGACGTTCAGGAGGGGAGAGGAAGAGAAAGGTGGGAACTAAGTGCCTTTGACGGGACAGGGAGCGTGCAGCTGAGAGTGTAGGTCAGAGGGAAGGCTGGTCACTCCGGAGGCAAATGGGAGATCTGCATGCTAGAGAGCATCCAGCCGGGAGCCTGGGTTCAGCGATGTCCAACATGGATTAAGTGCTTGGACTTTTCTGGAAACCCTGTCACCAGGGAGGAGAGAGGAAGTGGAAATGGGGGCCTGGGTTCCCTTTGCCTGCATTTTGATCCAGGTCTGTTTAGTACCTGTGTGACCGTGGGCAAGTCTCTTAATCTTTAACCACTTGTTTCCTGATCTGTACTTACCTTGTTTTGAGGATTAATGAAGTGGCTGTGTTTCGACATTTAGACAGTGCCTGGCATATAGTAAGTACCCGGTGAAAGATTTGTCATCATCATCAAAGAAAGCAGGAATGAAACTTAACTGGAGACAAGTTGAGTAGGACAGGGTGTACGCCCAAAAAAAGATAGTACAGCTGTGGGGCAGGAACACTCGTGGGTGAGGAGACTGGTGTCACCTCAGTGTCGTGGCACCAAAGTTTCAGAAGTTTACTTTGCCTCTCTGTGCGCATGGACTCCAAAGACAATATTTCAAACAAAAAATTGGGGGCTGAGAAGGGAATACATAACCCATAGGCAACAAATTAATCCATAGAGCCAAGTTTTCCATAGGGCTGAAGTGTTGGCTTTCAGCTCCCAACACTTTTCAATGTTAAGTGCTTGGGGTGGGAATGTTCCTTCGTTGAGTCACATGCTTCCCTTCCTCTTTAAAACAGCCTTCTCTGTTCTGTGATTTTTTTCCCTGGGCGACTCAGGTCAAGCCCCCGTATAAGAGGGTCAGGCCTCTGGCCCCAAGCTTTGTGGCTGGCTGGAGGCCTGCTTGAGTGGCTCACACTCCAGCCTGTGTTGTGTCCCCTGGGCCTGCTTGAGAATAGCTTCTTCGCATCTCTTTTTCTTTTCCTGGCATGAATGTCTTTATTCCTTGTGCTGTACAAATAGGAGGAGTGGGGAAAGGAAAGGCCAGTGGGGAGAAGGGAGAATTGTCAGATAAATGACATAAACACACAAAGAGGAAAAAAGACCCTCCCCATTCCACCCCAGAGTGATTTTCTGTGAACTCCCT